CAATGATTGGCCTCTCGGCGTGAGACCTTATGAAATCTATCATTTCTGTGACGCATCTCGGCCAATAAAAGGAAGGAAAAATGCTGCATTTGGCCAATCTCATTAAATGTTGTCGAACATTTTGAAATGGACTTTCAACTAAAAAGGATTACTTGAGTGGGGTTGGAATACTGATAACCGTGCAGTATAATCTCAAGATATTTCAATCTCGCCAGGATACCGCTTTATGAATGAGATTCTTTCCAGCCGCCTGCAAAAAATACACAATTATAACATTTTTAAGACTGTCATACGTTCACTTAGGCAGCATCATATCCATCCGTTTACTAATGCTGCTTATAAGGTATACAACATTTCCAAAGACATTCTTTCTCCAAACATAAAAATTAAATAAGACGTAATGTGCCACCGAACTAAGTAAAATAAGGAATATTTTCTCATATGTTTTCAATAAAATATGTTGGGATTTATAAGGGTATCAAAGATCAAGGTTAAGAATTCATGCTAGTCGAGTAGTCGTCTTTTAAGGAATTTAGCCTATGCAGGCGGTCCATGGGAAACTCCTTCGAAAGCCGGCATTCTGACGTGACTGGAATATCTTCTTCCAACTCAGCCAAAGTAACCTTCTGGAACTGAAAGTACATTTCATAATTTCAGGCAAGATTCCATGTCTACTGTACTTCCTAATTGCCCTTCAAACTACATTTTGAGTGCGTCGAGCGCGCACCGCGAAGCTGCCACAGACCACAAATCCCAATGCAGCACCATGAGAGAGATGTCTAAAACTAGCACCTTGGTGGGGTCCAAGATATCGCCAACTTAGGACTGAACATTGTGCTGGTATTAGTATCCTACCCGTCCGATATTTCCGTGCAATAAGCAAACTCTCTTCATAGGTTCTTCTTGTTTTTTTTTTCGAGCAACGACTAGTTTGCAATTCATCGTCGAGTTCTTCGACGTCCGCACACTTTCTCTAGTTCAACGGTGAGACGTCATCTAGATCAGTCACGTGCACTTAGCCAACACCTGATTTGTGTTGTCCACTTTTTAAAAAAACACTTAAAACGCCCATCAAAATGTCTGTTGTAGCGCTAATCGAGAAAGAGGAAAGTTATGCGCATAGGCGTAAAGTGGTTTGGAAGTCCCCTTCATAGGCCCATGCTGGCCCACCTTAAACGTCCAGAAAGAAGGGGCAGTTCTCCATTTTTCTGAAACGGAAGAATCAGGCAAAAACTTTCTGCAAGGATTGTCATCCTACACCAACATTCTCGGCCTATAACTTGCTCCTCAACCGTCATTATAAAAGCCGGACTTGGTGCAATATTTCTGAACCAGCAACAGGAGTCGAGCTGTTGCTCACGAACTCCTTTGGACGTCTGCCCTCCTTTTGTCGACAGAACTGTAAGACAGAAAAACCTCTCGGCGTAGAATAAAGTCTACCGCCATGTATGAGCCTCCTGGACTTCGAGAACAGGCCAACCTCTAGTCACGCTCCTCCCCCCCCCCCCCATCAGCCAGTTCTCATTAACATCATTTGTTGGTCGCCCCGTCGGTTTTTTTTCAACTAAAAACTTCTGCGTGAGTGTGTTGTTATCAGCTTCACGCTTGAATGCTCACTCTGCGGTAGGGATTACAGAGGTTGAAACGCTCATACACCCGCGCGGTGTGGTGTGCGCTCCACCTTCGGCTGTCCTCAACGCCCTAGCCTCCTCCACGGGACACGATCGGCCTTCAATAGCCTGGAGGCTCTAACGGGAACGATGAGGGCCTGGCGTGTGATTTTAAGCAGAAAGACCGTAGCTGGATGTGAGGGACCATCGCCCGGAGCGGAATGACCCTCTACAGAGGGCTCTGGGTGGCAGTCACCCGGTCGTCTCGCTCTCAAGAAGAAGAAGGCGCCCTGCAAATATGATAGAGATCTTTGGGGTCTGCTTACACACCTAGCGGAGAAGTGACTGTGGTCCGGACGGTTGGGTCTGCCCACCGCAACCAGAGCAGCGTTCAGTAGACCTTGTGAGGACACACCGTGAGGTTGAGTACGACTACTGTTGAGGCACAACCAACGCTCTGAAAACACCACCATTTTGTCAAAATGAGCTGACTGAAATTGGAGAATATTCAGTCGGCTACTTCCCTACCAGTTTTTACCGCAGCCTGTTGCAGAATGCGAGAAATGGTGCATAATTTGCGAACGCGTGGCCCAGTGGTTCAGACGTTGGACTTCTAGCAAACAGATCGTGGGATCAAGCCCCAGGTTTTGCATACCGCGGGGTTGAATTTGGCTGGCTGACGACGGCCAATAAGCCAGAACTGGCCATTCCAGTCTCCCTTCTCTTTTAAAGCAGGCATAGACAGCAGAATTTATTGGAACCAGTAAATTTTGCGACGGCTTATCAACTGCAGCCTGTCTTTGCATAACAGAGATAACAAGTGAGAAATTACGGAGGTTTAAACTTCCCCGGAGAGAATCAATATAAAACAGCAAGGCCATCGTATACTGCACGTAAACTAATCAATAAAATGGTAACTTGAAAACACAGCATTGGTAAGAAAATGAGGAAGTTAACACGCCGGGGATTTCGTTAATCAAAAGGGCTCAGATCTACCTGCTTTAAATTCGTTCCGGGGAAATATTGCTTCAAGTTCCCTTATGTTTGTCGGTAGTGCTATTATTAACCCAAGTGTGCCTTGCAAGTTTTCCACATAGGGATTTCTTTCAGCCCTGGGCAGGAAGGTAGGGTAAATTCTATATCGCAAACAGCATCGTTTACTCCACAGTCCGAGGAGACAGGTTGGGTAGGTAAGGTGAAGCTGGCGAGGTCGACGACAGAGGTGCTCCAATAGGTTTGCACGCGTACGACCAGAACAATGATAACATTTCTGTTTGACAGGTAATCATATATGCACATGAGGGTGATCCAGGCGGACGTTGAGTAGATGTGGCTGATCTGACCGTGAGCTTATAGTAGAGAAGTGGTCTACTTTGCAGAATCGAACATGATGCATGAAAGTACACACTCCACACGTGCGTGGGAGTGCCAGAGGTCGCGTTAAGAAGGAGCCGTTGCAGCCTCATCCTCCGCCCATCAACCCGCCACCTCACAAGAACAAGCATAACCCGGCTGACTGCACGGAGTGAGTTGGTGTGTCAGCCGGCAACCTCTAAGCCACTGCGCTTGGCGCAGCGTGATAGTCTCAGGCTCGGATCACACATGCAGCAGAGGAGCCGAGAAGCACGCTTTCCATTTGTGAGAAGGGTCAATTGAGTGCTTGCGTTGTGAGACGATAGGTGATGTTGATCTGTAGTGTAGGTGTTAGCAGGGGGAAAGTTGTGAGGGTGTGGTATGGCCGGCGGTGGTCTACCGCAGGTTTTCATGAGTGCGCATGTGGCCTAATAGGCTCATGCGATGACTGAATGTGCGAGCAGTGAGGGTAGTTGAAGCAGATGCGACGGATGTATGCTGGTGCTCCAGGCACTGGTTCGCCATTCACTGTGCGATGGATTCGCGAGTGACCGACTAGGACGATGCGTGAGGTGGATCTGAGGTCTCGATGAGGACAAGTTTTGACCGAGTCCACATCACTAGTGTTGCAGATGCGTCAGGATTGTGTGCAGTGGTGGTGGAGGCAGAAGTCGCCGCAGCAGAGATTGAGACGGAGGATGGCGACGGGACTCGGGAGAGCTTTTAGGGTTGATTATCGACGTAGATTGTGTGGCAGAGGTGGACGGTGAGGGATCAGATGGTGCCGTCCGGGTTCTGCAGTTTGTCCAGAGATGTCCGATAAGATCAGTTTGCTCCGGTAACCTTCGCTAACAGCGTGGGCATATCGGGGACGGTCGAGCGTTGGCGTTGCAAGGTGGAGGCAGCTGGACTTTTTGAGCTTCGTGTTTTGATTGGCGGCAGTTATGCGGTTGGCTTCGTAGATCGCTGCTCCTGTCTTCACTGTCCTCCTTCAGGCCAGTCGGTTTCGGATGAGGTCTTCCCAGTTGGTCGGGTTGATCTGCAGGCGCTTCAAGAAAGTCTCCACCGTGTCCCTGTAGCGCCGAACTTGACCTCCTTGTCGTTGAGAACTCGTGGAGACATCCGCATAAAGAGCAGTTTGGTTAGTCGCTCGTCGTCCATTCACATGAGGTGGCCTCTCCAGCGCAACCACAACTGTCTCAACATGATGTGGATGCTGAGGATTCCTGTCCATTCTAGTACTCCTCTGTGTGTGGGATCCAGTCCTGCCACCTCAGCTTTAGTATCCGCCGAAGACAGCTGACGTGTAAGTAGTTGAGTCGTCGCGCCTGCTTCTTGTACACCGTCCAGGTCTCCGCTCCATACGGCAGCGTCGTCGAGATAACGGCTTTGTACATCTTGAGTTTGGTGCTTAGGCGGAGATCATGACGATTCCATACGGTGTTCTGCAGGAGACCGAAGGCTTTGTTGGCTTTTGAGATCCGGCGGGCCACCTCGTCCTCGATTTTGCTGCAGTCCAGATAGGTGAAGGTGTCTATGGCTTGCAGCTGAGTGCCATTGACTTTGATGTGAGGCGTATTTTAGTCAGTGTTGGGTGGCGTTTGGAGAATGACCGCCGCTTTATCCGTGTTTATGATCAGACCGAAGTTGCCGCGGACGGCGAAAAGGAGGTCCATGCTCCTTTGCATGTTCCCTTCCGAGGTACCGTTGAGAGCGCAATCGTCGGCAAAGAGAAGTCATGGACGATAGTTGTGGATACGCGCGACTGGAAGTGCACCAGCCGATGATTCAGTTGTCTATACGTCCTGTTTTCGACGCGGATCCCGGAGCGTTCGTCACAGCGGGCGTGGCAGAGAACATGAGATTGAAGAGGGTGGGCACAAGGACGCAGCCCTACTTCACCTCGTTGGTCACTGCGAATGCCCCTGAGATAGCTCCGTTGTCCGTGACGCGCGCCATCATGCCATCGTTGAGCTTACGCACCATCAAAGTGAATCGTTCGAACAACCGATTTTCTGCATGGTTTTCGGCAACCCTTCACGATTCATTGTATCGAAGGCTTTTGTCAGATCCCCAAAGGTAGAGTTGAGGTGGTTCCGCATCTCTTGCAGTTGGCGGGCTGTGAAAATCATGTCTGTGGTCCCACAGTGACGGCGGAAGTCCCACTGGCTTTCCGGCAGGAGACCCTGTTCCAGATGTTTGTTCGGACGGTTGGGTAAAGTGCCAGCGGAGATCTTTTCGGCTAGGTTGGGCAGCGCAATGCCTCGGCGGTTGTCGCAGGGTTGGCAGTTCACGTTTCGCTAGTAAAGATGGACGATTGTGACGTCCTTGAAATCCTGCGAACTTCCCTTGACGCCTCATCTCCTGGAAGAGGGTCGTCAGATGATTCATGAGTTGGGGGGCACCGCGTTTGTGGATCTCAGCAGAGATCGCGTCCGATCCAGGTGTTTTCCCACTGGTGAGCTGCTGTACGGCCCTGATGGTTTCGTGGAGAGAGGGCGCGAGATCCAGGTCGGCGTTGGTCTCCACTTGAGGCAGAGGGGCGATGGCGGCGTCGGAGATTGTGGAGGGATGGATGAGGACGCTTCTAAAGTGCTCGACCCAGCGATTTAGAATTTGCGCCTTCGCAATGAGTAGGGAAGTTCCGTCGACGCGGTTTGTCTGGCTGTGGGACGGTGGACACCCTTGACTGCGGAGAAGAAATTCTTTCATTCGTCGCGGCCCGCGTACCCTTATATCTCCTCATCTTTGCAAGCCATCCAGGCGTCCTGCGTTTCACGCAGCCGCTGTTGCACAGGACGACGACATCGGTAGAAGGCTGCTTTGTTTGCGACGGAAGCGTGCTCGTTATGAAGTTTCTCTAGCTGATGAAACCAATGAAGCATTAACCATGCCAAGACATAATTACAGTAGTTCCTCTACTGTTTTCAGCGTTGTAGTCCATCCGTCGTACTGGATGAAAACTGCCTCTACCTGCAGAGTCAGTGGTTTATTGGGCTAGATCGCAGTTGGTAGCCAGGCCCCGCATTACAGGTGGCGGGGGGTTGTTTACTCGGACTATTTTGTGGGACTCCATAAACACATCTGACCCATTTGGCCTCCGTTTTACGTTTGAGGTTAGGATTAGGAAAGTGGTTAATGGTTATCGATTTTCGGGTTAGGGTTATGCCTTTAGGCTTAGGTTTATGGGTTACGGTTAGGGTTTGAGCGTACGAATAGGCTTCAGTATTATTGCTAGGTTTTTCAGTTACGGCTATGTCTAAGGGTTAGGGTTAGGGTTGCCGTTAGGGTTAATGGTTAACGTTTAAGTGTGAGGTTAGGGTAAGGGTTAAGGTTAAGATTGCGGTTAAGGTCGCGATCCGCTTCCCCATTCCTGGCTACCAACTGCGATCTAACCGTTTCTTGAATATACAGTGAGTGACCGATCTCGTGAAATGTTGGCTGAAATTCTGAAATACCTTTTCGATTAGAAAGGATTACTTAGGCGCGGTTGTAATACTGATTATTTTGCGGTATAATCCTATAATATTTCGGACTCGACAAGATGTGGGCTTTTGAATACACTGCATTTCAATCTTCTCTAGAAACCTTACTCGTTAAAAAATGACTACTTATGTAGCATGAATTTTTCCCACAGATTTTCGATGGTCCTGCAAATTCAAATATATTTTGGAGAAACCACGAACAAAATTATGCTTTCTTTTTGTTGTTTGACAGAAAATCACGACATTTTTACATTTTATACCTGAGGAAGGAGCATAATTAAGTTCTAAAAAATATCTAATTACGAGATTTCTTAAGACCGCACAATGTTCATTCACATAGCATCTAACCTGTCCGTTTACCACTGCTACTTATGAAATGTACAACACTGTCTGCATCCATTGCAAAATTTTATGGACTCTATATGATATCCCTTTAAAGGTATGGAAGAATATGAGATTTTCTTTACGCGGAATACATGCACTTTGTAGACACCAACCACTAAGCGCCAGTGCAACGACTGATCAGGCTCCAAAGTATTCGGTAATTATGAAACTTTTTAAAGGCTACGTGTACTCCTTCTTCGAGTATAAAATATAAAGATGACGTGATTATCTATCAATTTGCTGATGATGTAACGTGGGTGGCATCGAATAAGTGCTTTCGAGGGGGCTTACATGGCAAGTACTACCTTAAACCTCGTCCCAGTCAACCATTCTTGTTCTTCTTCTTCTTCAATACAACTCGAAGTAGGGTAGTTGTGGTAGGATTTAAACAGCCGCCCGTCTGACTGGACACAGGTCCTTAGCTTAGGGGTCAGCGCCTTGGACTTTGAAATGCCATAGATAGGCCGAGGAAGGGTCGAAACCAACGTCCCTTCACTGGCTGAGAGCGACCATAAGGGTGAAAATGACGATTTCCGTCTCCTTAGCATCACCTCAGTGCGTTGAAGGGCGTAACTGCCTTACTCGTCTAGCCCACACAAAATAGTTCCGCGCGTATTCGCGTGCAGATATGCTCGCGTCCAATCGATGAACATAAAAATTTAAATAGCGGTCTCCTCACTAACTTATTTCGCGTATTTGTCGTAGATTTAAGGCAATTAAATTTACAGCAATTGCACTTCAAGGCACGATTTGCTGTCCACTGACTGACATTTACTATCAAACAAGTTGCGGGAATACTTCTCACCCTAGGTTCGGAAGTTGAATAGCAACGGTGAGTAGGGCAAAAATGGTACTTTCACATTGCTTCTTGCTTTTGTCAGTAACGCTTCCGGATTACGGATTGCCCACTGATAAGCGACCGTCTACGAGGCCTCTGGATTGGAGCACCAACGCCAGACAGAACTGCTCGGACTGGTACGTATATGTTCGGAGGAACAATCACTCTCAGAGTATTTTCAGCATTTTTATATTGGCTGTCCGACCCCAATCATTTGACCTGCGTGCACAGGAGATCGAACCGCCGTTTCCCCCTCCTCAATCACTCATGGACACTGTTCTACTCAGATATGAAAAATTAAATATTCTGCCTACCGACCGTGAAACTGCTTCTTCTTCTTGTTCTTCTTCTTCTTCTTCTTCTTCTTCTTCTTCTTCTTCTTCTTCTTTTAATTATGTTTATTAATAATGTTGCCTACTGACTACGCCTGCATGACCTATAAGGATATAAAGTTCTCCTGTTAAGTGCTCATTTGAACAGTAACGAAATTAGTACTTTTCACTTATTTCAGGCGATGGTGCTTAAAACATTTCGCTCGAATTCTGTCTATTTCGATATAGGGCAGTCCAATAACCCTGAACGACGATTTCCAGCGAGGGGGCAGGGCGACTTGCGCAGCGTCTGTCACATTCTCTGCTCACCCCCCCTCTCCACCCACGTCCCGTGTCAGGAAAGAGTCAAGACGACCTGAGGCGGGATCAAGCGTATAGGCGGACAAAGCTGAACATCCCCGTGTGGGCATGCCACACACACCTGGCCTGCGCACTATGGACCAAGTTTTGCCAAAAGCAAGAAGTAGTTGGCCAGGATCCCATCTGAGTGGGAGTGCCATAGAGGACTCACCAGGGAGGAGCCATTGAAGCCTGGTTCTCCGCCCTGAGAGGAGGACAGGTTCCCCCAGTCAGTTGACTGCCTTCCAAGCCACGGCTTTTGACGCACCGTGATAGCTTACGAGCGCGTCAGATTGCTTATTACTGGGGAAAATGCCTCTGGAACGGAATCGCCAGAGTCGACCTCACTGTAAGTGGGTCGGCCGAAATTCCGAAATGCGCCTTCGTTTTGAAAAGATTAATTAAGTAGGGTTGTAAAACTAGTCAAACTGCAACATAATTCTATAATATTTCAGTTACCTCAGGGTGTCGGCTTTCGAACGAACTTCCTTCCTGCTGCATGCAAAAAAGACATTCTGCAAAAAAATAACTACTTAAGAAGCATGTATTTTTCTCATTGATTTTCGATGCCCCTAACTGTTCTACTATATTTCATCTAAAACATGTGTAAAAAGATTCATTCTTTTGCTCATTCGGTAGAAAATTACGCCTTCTTCCAAATTTATACTCGAAGGGGGGAGATAATTCGGTTTCAAAAAAGTTTCTAATTGTGGGACTTTAAATACCGTGAAATGGCCGTTCATAAATCGTCATGTCTCTGTATTTACCAATGTGGCTTACAAAGTTAACGATCTGGACCAAATCCACTGCTAAATTTTATGAAACCTATATGGTCCCCCTTTATTACCGTAGAGAAATGTGCGGTTTTCCGTACGCGGAAAATATACGGCTTGCATTTTGGAAACCCTGAGTCCAAATGTGACGGTAGAGCGGGTTTAAAATTATTCGGGAATTGGAAACTTTTTAAAACCAAATTATCATCCTCCTTCGAATATCAACTTAAAAGAAGACGTAATTTTCTACCGAATAAGCAAAAGAATGGATATTTTTATGCATGTTTTCCACGAAATATAATTGGACAATTAGGGGCACCGAAAATCAACGAGAAAATACATGCTACTTAAGTAGACATTTTTACAGAGTGTCGTTTTTGCATATAGAAGGGAGGAAGTTCGTTAGAAAGCCGGCATCCTGAGGTAACTGAAATATTATAGAATTATGTTGCACTTATTGACATAAGTGGCGTTTAAAACATTTCGCTCGAATTTCGTCTATTTCGATATAGGTCAGTCCAACAACCCTGAACGACGATTTCCAGCGAGGGGGCAGGACGACTTGCGTAGCGTCTGTCACATTCTCTGCTCCCCCCCCCCACCCGCGCCCGTGTCAGGAAAGAGTCATGAAGACCAGAGGCGGGGTCAAGCGTATAGGCGGACAGAGCTAAACATCCCCGTATGGGC